ATAAACCATCAAAAAAATTCTGTAAAAGTTATTTACATAGCGGGACTAATATTTTATTCGGTGCTGCTGCCTTCAGTACTTATTTTCAATAACGTATCAAATACGTGGACCACACTGTATATTACGATTACTGATTTACCGACTCGTAATTTATTAAATTAAATAGATTGTATAGACGTCAGAATATAAATAATAAAATAATAAATAAATAAGAAATAATAAAAATAAATAATAAAATTAAATACGATAACGTAAACAAAAAATAAAAATAAAATAATAAAATAATAAATAAATAAATAAAAAATAAATAATAATAAGAGAGGGAGGGAGAGAAAGGGAGAGAAAGAGACAAAGAGATAGAAACACATTTTTTATAAAAATGAATTATTTTGAAATAAAATTTAAAGAACCTGCTTTTTATGTACACCTTAATATTTAAAATGTCCAAGTTCAACGTATAAATCGTTGAACGGTTAAATCGTTCAGATTTAATGACATAACAACATTAAAAAAAATAATAAGATGAGAAACTGTATAAAAAATTATGAGAACAATTTTTACTAGGGATGATATATATACGCCTTTAAATGGCCATTTAACCGTTGTACTATTCCATACTTGTACTCGTTATTTCTCTATTATTGTTGCTTTTTTATAAAAAATGTATAATATAATTTTAAAATATAAACATTGTTTTTTATTATGTATATGTGTACAATTATTGCACAATATAATTATCTTGACTCCTCTGCAGCAGTTTTACATGGTATGTATGTGAAACTGCCCCATTTAATAACGTACATATGGCCCTTGATAGAATTAAATAGCCTATCTAGGAAACAGAATCTGCGCGCAATCTGCCGGCAGTCTGTCGTCAGAGTCTGTCGATAAGCTCTGCGCGCAGTCTGTCACCAATCTGTCGTCAGAAACTGCTAAAACAGTTTCTGTGTGCAGTCTGTTGCCATTCTGTCAACAGACACTGTTGACAGACTCTGCGTAAAATCTGCTCGCACAGGTTTGGCTATCTGGGTAGTAATATTTTGTGATTCAAATACAGCTTTTAGTACTCCCCAAATAGCCGTCAAGAATTCTTGCGTGCCATATCTATTAGGACCTTAACTTAGTTTCCGCCCAAAAAATACTGAGAAAAAGCATTTATTGTAAGAAATTTATTTAAATTATTTCAATGAAAGTATTTTCCATCACTTTCTACAACTTTTTGCCATCTTTCTGGCAACTGGGCGATATCATCTCGATAAAACGATGTTTGTTTCGAAGCAATCCATTCGTCCACCCATTCTCGCACTTCTTCAACATTTCGGAAGCGTGTACCACTCAAGCCGTGCTGCATCGATCTGAACAAGTGGTAATCAGAAGGCGCTATGTCTGGTGAGTACGCTGGGTGAGGAAGAGTTTCCCATTCGAGCTGCGTCAGTGTTTCTTTGACGGTTTTTCCAGTGTGTGGCCGAGCGTTATCGTGTAAGAGAATAACTTTGCGCCTGTTACTCGCTATTGCTGGTCTTTTT